CCTGACATTTTCGTTCTTAGCTAGCCGTAGGTTTCTGCTTTGCTTTGCTAGGCGTGAAGCTTCCATCGTCCTTACGGGTGTAAGCATTCGTGACCCTATTCGTGACCCTCCCTGACATTTTCGTTCTTAGCTAGCCGTAGGTTTCAGCTTTGCTTTGCTAGGCGTGAAGCTTCCATCGTCCACACGGGTGTAAGCATTCGTGACCCTATTCGTGACCCTACACTTGCACTTGAACTTCTGGTTATAAGTATTCTACATGAGCATTTTTTTGGGGATATCGATCTAATATGCTTCGATTTTATTTTGTTTGGGCAGACATGTTTGACATATTTATATAAGGGTATTTAATGCACGCAGGCTCTTCATCTTTTATTTTTTCTATTCTGTGGTCATTTCTCTTTTACTGTTCATGTGTCTACTAGTCATTTACGTGACCCATAAGAGAGACTTACAATTGACACAAAAAAAAAAAAAAAAAAAAAAAAAAAAAACGAACAAAAACTTCCTGGATTTATTGTATTTTTTTGCTGTTTGATAGGATTTACGTTCAATCCTGCTCAAATCCTGCTACCAAAGAGCACCGAAATGCTCTCCGCATCCCTGTTTCCGCCCTTTAGTTTTTGACTTCATGAAAATGACGCGCCATTTATTGATTTACAGGTATTGCTTTTGAGCGATAAATCAATCCTTTTGGCTATTTGAGTTAAATTTAGCCAAAATACAAACGATGTCGCGGGATAAGAAGAGTAAGAAGCCATCATCTTCAGCCTCCCGATCTCCAGCGACTCCGCTCCGGCGATTAGCAACCGATGGCTCCGATGAGGGCTCTAATAGACGGGTCCTCTCCGATGCCGCTGTTCGATTCCCTTACCTTATATCAGAGTCAGCCATTTGCGGAGTGGTCTGTGGTACAGAAGCTCTCTCCTCCAACCATTCGAAGATTTACCTTTCTCAGTCCTTTTTGGCCTCGTACTCCCTCTGCTCCAACCATCTTGTCACGGTGAGCTAAACCCTACAACTTTGTGCTGCTCGACATTGATTTATTTATGAACTTATGTAGTTAGTTAAATGGTCACTCTTCTTTTTTCCTGTGATTGAAAATTTCTTCCACTAATTAAAAAGGTGGGATTTTGTTGGAGTGTAGACAATGCTTGTTGATCTCATCGGACCAAAACAAATTGTGGTGGATAATGAATTAATCTATGGACATTAGTGATGTATGTTTCGCTGTAGTGTTAATTATTGCTACCAGGAGGATTGAGAAGTTTCAAGTGGGTTGGTTAGAAAATTTGCTGTTTTCCATGGTTAAACTTTGCAAATTTTACTAATTGTTATCAGAAAAGGCTGGTATTTGTAATTAGAAGCTGGTAGAACCTACACAATTTTATTTAATAGAGTTATTTATAAATTTTCTTCTCCTTACGTAGAAGTTGGTACAATAATTCTCTCTCATAAATTATAAATATTAGTTCATTTCAAGTTATCTTTAGCGAAGCTGATTTATCCTTTTCATAATGTCTGGAGCTTGTGGATGAGGTTATGACAATGTTTATCTTTTACCAAGAGCTAGAAGGTCCCGACCATCAATACCATTGGTCAATGAACACCTCCTGGTCTTGGAGGTCAAAGTTGTCATTTTTTTAAAGAAAATCTCCTAGCTGTCTGGGCAAGTGCACTATTTTGATTATTTCCAATTGATCTTGAAGGATCTCAAGTATCTTTTAGAAGAACCATATGTCATTCACAGGTCTCTCAATAGCTCCATGATGATTCCTACAAATGCCTGAAGCTGATCGACCCTAACGAGGAGGGCTAACTAAGTCTAGGGGTTCAAGATTCAAATTGATTTGCATAAGATCATGCAAAGTGGAGTTATGCAATAAAATCACTGCAAACCATATCTAGAAGCTCTCTCACCAAGCTTTGAGGTATTGAAGGGGATTTGTTTGCATATGTTGCAAATCTGTAGTGACTTTACTCATATTTTGGTCTATATTAAAAAAAATTCAATTAAAAATTTTAGTGATTGCTGTTACTTTCAGGGAATTTAGTTTATACTTTAATGTTGCTTTGATTTTGAATTCTATTTCTAGCAAGTTCCAATTCTGTCTTTTCTTTTATAAATTCTTGTTTAGAAATCTGTCTGATTCCATGTTGCTGCAAAGCAGGTTGCATTAGCTGGATCAGACAAAGAACCTTCGCACAAACTCCCACTATACAATTTTGTGGAGAACTACATTGCAAATTTCGGAATTGATTCCGACGATAGCTTATCGAATAATGTGGGATCTTATTTCGCAATAGCCAATGTATCATCTTGTGATAAGGTACAAAAGTTCTTAAAAATGTATTTTATTCAGCATGAATAGCTTTTAATTGGCATAAATTCTGTTATTTTTTTAAGCTTCAAAAGAACGAAGCGAGGTTATCGTGGGCTCTTTCTTGCACTATGGGGTTTCCTGCAATTGGCCAACCATTATTTATTTCTCCCATTGGAGATTTTTCAAGCTCTCATTATGAAATCAATATAAACAATACTTGTCATCTTCGCTCCCATAAATGCAGGAACCTGAACTTAAATATGCTTCCATTTACATTTATTGGTTCAATAGATTTTGCCTCCATAAAAAATGGATATGGCGAAGCTGAATTGCCTAAAACTCGATCCGATCACTCAAGGCTTCCTTCCGCTTCAAAAAATTATCCTCGCTTGCCTGGAGGTTTTTATTCTTCTGTATTTAATGAGTCAACATTGAAGTTGGCATTGGTTGATGAAGAAACTAAACTTTTACGTGAGAAATTTGCTTATAAATTTCTTTATGGAAGATATTTGCTTCATGGAAATCTTTTTGCTTTTCCGGTATTGGAAAAAGTTCTTTTTTTTACTGTGGAAGATGCAGAACAGTACACAGCTTTCTATGTGGAAGCTAAAACAAAAATTTCTTTCTCTGGCACCACAACTGCAGCTAGTGAAAGCTCAAGTGGAAGAGTTTTTCCTGAAGAGAATATATCGGAATTTATTAGTGACGGGGAACTTAATGATAGACCAAAATTGGGCGGTTTATCTAAAGAATTTGCTGATTTAGAGGAGATTATTAAATTTTCATTAGCACAAAAGGATCCTTTACTTAGGTATTTCTTTCCACAAACAATTTCTCCTTATTTTTTTTATTCATATGGTTAGAATGTATCTTTAAAGTATGAATGTTTATGACTTTATCTAATTTAACAGCCTACTTTGATGGATACATATAGAATCTATGAAAACTTTCTTGATCTTTACATGCTACTCTTCTCAAGCATACTATGATTATTGCATAATATAATGAAGATTAATTGAATTCTGTTTTAACTTGCACGCTTTGGTATTTTTCTTTTTGAAATGAAATGCAAATACATGTTATAGCCAATTATCTATATTTTTGTATATGTTTTTAATTTTATGTAAAGGTTGATGTAGCCAACTTATAAAGAAGCTCATCCCTCAGTTTGTATTGGGTAAAAAATACCACAAATTAACTTTGCAATCGGCTTATGGAAAAAATTTCTATTCACTTAGAAAGTGACAACAAATAGCTTATAATACCTAGGGCTGTCAAAATGGCTCGTTGTTTATGAATAGCTCATGTTTAACTCATTAAGTAGCTCGCGTTCTATCCGTTTGCTAATGTGAATAGCTCATGTTTAACTCATTAAGTAGCTCTCGTTCTATCCATTTGCTAAGCAAACGAGCAGAGGAATATTTCTTTTGTGCTCGATATATAAACGAGCCGAACAAGAACTAAAATTTGGCAGTTTCGTGTTCGCCTTTGTGCTATATATATATATATATATAGTAGATAGATAGATAGATAGATATAGATATATATAATTGATGACTATTATTTTTTAATAATTTAATTGACTACAAGGCTACAAAATTTTATGATCATTTAAAATTAATAATAAAAAAATAATAAAAATATTAAATTCTATTTAAATATATTTTAATATAAATAGTAAGATTTTTTTCCTTTTGTTTAAAATTCATACTTTCATTCCTACTAACAAATAAATCTTTCCCTTTCTTCTAGTTCACTTCATTATTTCCTTTAACTCCCTTTTTTAGGAATTAAATTTACTTTTTTTTTTCCTAGTTCTTTTATACGTTTCTTACTTTTTGTTATTTTTCTCTATTGAATTTTTTAGTAAAGAGATAAACAAGAGAGAGAGAGAGAGAGAGAGAGAGAGAGCCAGAGTCCGAATTCACCAAAATTTTGTGCTGCATTTCATTTTCATCTGACCAAATTCTAAAATTTAAAAAACCCCTACATTTGGTTTATTTTACACTTCTTTGATTCATTTTTTATGCTTTTTCCTCATTCCTTCAGTTGAGTTATCACTGAAACCAGATCATTTTCCTTTTCATTAAGACGTGCATATTGGCTATTTTGGTACTTAGCTGTTCTCGAGCCCTTTTGATTTTCTACTAGCTGTTTTTTATTCATCCCAAATTTAGGTACTCCGGGGTTCTTCTTCATGGTCCACCTGGCACTGGGAAAACAACCATGGTTTCATGCTGTGTTCGTGAAGCTGGTGCTCGACTTTTCTTGGTCAACGGACCTGAAATTGTTAGTCAATACTACGGTGAAAGTGAGCAAGCATTACAAAAAATTTTTGATTCAGCAAGGACAGCTGCTCCGGCTGTGGTATTAACTTTCTCAGAACTACACCCTTTCTTCGTTCTTTTCTTTGGCTAAAATCATATTTCACTACTGATTTGTGTTGGAATTTGCATGATTACGCTAAACATTTTCTATGGTGCATTCAAGATTTATTTTTCAAGTATCATTTGGTAAGATTATAACCATACAATGAAGACTCTGCACGATGTCAATCTTAAGTGATTAGTAGGGGTCATATTTGCTTAGCATTATTATGTCAACATTTTGTCAAGTTTATTTACGTTTTTCACCATATAAAAGCAATATTTCCAAGCTAATAGTGCACATGCATGCTTGGTTACAAAATAATCTATGCACCATTTTTATTAAGGGAGATTTACATGCATAACAATTAATTCCTATGTATTTACATATCTAACAACTAAACCTCAAATTTTAAATACATGCCACCTTATCTATGCATTAAAAAGGTGTATTTCTCTTCTTAAAAGTTAAAATGGTGGTATTTTTATTGAGATATAAAAGATTTGGGTGTTATTAATGTAAAAAATAAAGTTTAGGTGTTAGATATGTAAATAGTTAGAAATTGGGTGGCATAAATGTAAATGCCCATTTTATTAAATATGTTTATTAAATTTGGCAGCTAGTGATAGTGACAATAAATCAATTATCGATCATATTAATGAAAATTTTCAAAATAAAGGATGTTGAATGATGGAAGAAGCATGTGATAATACTGTTCTGAAATTATCTGTCTTTGCATCTCAGTTCATCGTAGAACCAATAAAATGTTGCTAATTTGTTAAAACGCCTACTATGGGGATAACTTTTTGATATTTGTTGTTACAGACTTACAGTGTCAGGTAAGTACTACTATGGGGATAACTTTTTGATATTTGTTGTTACAGTGTCAGGTAAGTACCTAAGTACTTAAATTTTGACTATAACTCTTACTTTTAACAATTTTATCATGTTTTTTTCATTTAGATAAATATGGTAGATATTGGTCAAGTTAGTTTTATTGTAGAATACTTTAAATTCATGTACTAACCTGGGATGTGATATTCTAAATATTTTTATAAATGTTTATGATATCAGTTTCATTCTTCTTAAGGAGGGGTTTCACATAATCATTTTGATAACAAAAAGACTTACAACTTTTATAAGGGAAAATATTCTGAATACTAATACATAAGATAAATTAGAGTGTCTTATGTTCTGTTGATGCATGTAATTTATAGAAGTAGCTCTTTTTTTGCAAGATGGAAGATTGAGACCTTTTTACTTTGATATATTTTTAAAGACACTATTCCATGAGATTATTGTTTTAAGATTTAGATTTTTATAACATTTTTTTAAAAATTAATTGCACTGCTTTGTTTTTTCATCCAAGTTTGGGAGATCTACTATTAATGGGGATCTTTGGTTGCAAGAATCATCTGAGATTCAGATAGAATATAGGCTAAATCTTTGTCACTTTGATTTTTGTAGCAATGACATCTTGATATTGTATTAAATCTATTTTTATATTATTGAGATTTAACAAACAATTAAGTAGTTAAGCAAATCAATTGAGAAAAAAGTTAAAATGGTCTTATGGACTATTTAATGTAGCCATTTTAGTCTAAAATTATAGATGTATTCAATTTAGTTTGTTGACTCCTCAAATTTGAGGATTCAATGGGCTATTGAAACAGATTTGATGTTGAGGATTCAGTGGGCTATTGAATCAGATTTGATGAGTCCAGGGATTAAATTGGACATTATGTAATCTAGGGCTAAAACAACACCCTTAAATAGTTCATGGACTTTTTTTCCTTTTTGCTAAACAATCTTTAGGATATAACTCTTAGGATTTTTTAAATTTGGATTTATAGGAGTTTGTAATTCTTATTTAAAAAACCTACTCTTAGCTAAACAATTACTTGTTTCAGTCATCGATATAATTTTTATGCAAATCCTTGTCTTGTTTATGTCCAAATTTTTTTTTTGGATTGTATTGTTATTCTATATTCATGATAAACACTTTGATTTACTATATCATTGTGCTCAAAGTTACCGATAAATGGTATGTGCTACTTACTGTAAATGGAAAAGAGGCTTTGTTTAAAGTTACACATTGCCTGTTGATGATTGGTTTAGTGTATTAGGGTAGCATTCTTTATGGGAGCTTGCCACACAATCCTTGGCTTTAACATTTGGTTTGCTTTTCATTTTAGTCGGTTTGTTTCTATATAGTAAGATTAGAAGAAGAATAAATATATCTTTTTTAGAAGAAACCAAATGAATATGATAAAAATTCAAGGACATTTGGGGATGTTATAGGCTACTGTATAGTGAAACTATTAGCAATAGTAATGTGTTAGATTATAATGGATAAAAAAGTTGAAACATAAAATTGTTGATGTGAATATGGTTGGTGATAAGGTGATTGCTATTAAGATAATTATAGATGAGGATGTAATGAATGTGGTTAGTTTGAATGCTTCACAAGTTAGATTAAAAGATAGATTAAAAATCAAATATGGGTAGAATATATGTGATGATTGATTAGTGTTTGTTAGGATGTGTATATAGGTTCTAATAAAATCTATGATGGGAGGATTCTTGATGATTATGTAATACGGCATAAATATATAATGGGATAATTATATACACAACACCCGAAATAGTTCTATTTACAAAATTAGCATTCTTGTATTTTTTTGAATTACTGAACATATAGATTTACATGTGTCACGATCAAACTATTGAGAAATTGATAAAAATGTAAATAATAGGTTGGGATTTTATCAGGAATTTTGTATTCGTGTGAGAATTTGAAAGATGGATGTAAGATGGTGCTAGATATGTAAATACTAATGTTTCGAGTGCTATGTATGTAATTGCACCAAATATGATATGCGATATTGTACTTGATTTTGTAGTACCATATCATCTTTCATTAACGAATATATATTTAAATAAATGGGAAGAATATTTTATCACTTAGAAATAGCAGTGATTAAAATACAAATAGATTTTTTTCTTACTTGGAATAACAGAAAAATCATTTTTTCCCCAATATTGTGAGTGTTTCTTGGAGGGGTTTTAATCATACAACATAGATTTGTAGTTATGAATGTTTATCTTAGGAGTATAAATGAAAGTAACATTTCTTCAAAAGGCGATGAATTGTTGATTTTCTTAAAGTAGGCTGTTAATAGTGTAACTTGGAATTTTTTAGTTGGTCTAAATCTAATAAGAAATAAGTTTACTAATTCCATTTGGAGGATTGTTTTACAAGCCTTAGGAGAGCCTAGAAATAGGATCATACATTAGCAAGGAGGTTTGTTTGTAGAATCACGAGGTGCAAATGATTTTATGGAAAAAATGCACTGGTAATAGCTTTAAAAATTGGTTATTATTGAGGTTAATAATGATTATAATAAAGGTAAATTTTTGGCAAAAAACTATTCTTAGTAAAACAAAATGTTGTGGCTTTTGATGATTTATATAATATGCTTAGTACGAAGAATGGTGAATGTGAGAAACTATAATAACTAAGTTTATGGACTAGAGATTTTAAGACTTTGTTAAGTTAAATGCATTATAAGTAAAGATAATAGTGTTTTGATGAAAAATAAAGATTTTGTAAAGGATGAAAATAATAATTTGAAAAATTATAAATGCGAGGTTTAAAGAAAAAATATATCTTAGGGGTGCACAATGAAAACTATATTAAAATATATCATAAATTGATCCAAAAAAGTATACTTTTAAAGAAGATGCATAAAGATGATTATTGATGAACAAAATAGATACTCATTTAGAGTTGAAAATTTATGGGGGATATTTTAACAATTTGGCTAATAAATATTTTCAATAGAATTTTTAAGACTAAGATGATTCCAAATTATTGTAAATGTATCTTGCACCAACATTTAAGTATTAAGGTAATCTTCAAGGTTGCATGATGTCTACAAAAATCAAACTTATAAAGTAATATTTTGCTTTGAAAAAATAGATCAGTTTGGATAATTTATTTGATTTTATGCCAAAAAAAGAAATTACTATAGAAGCTTTTTTTTGTATTGAGAAAATAAATGGTAAAATAGAGAGAAACAAATTATTTTTACATGATTTTTAGTGATCTTTGGAAGACATTATTTAATATCATAAAAATTAATTTGATGGTATTAAGGGAAAAACTTTGTGTTAAAGATATGTTAACTATTAAAGTTATATTCAATGGGCCATTTGTTGGTATTAGATGTACTTTGCGGAGTTGCTTTAGACTTTTCAATTATGGTATGTTTACATTAAGGATCATGATTGGGTACATCTTATTTTATGTTAGTTGTAGAGATGCTTATGAAGATATATGAAGCAAGCTATTTGGTAGATATTTTTTAGAGTTGATTAAAAGATATTTCTATTTTGGATTTGGGAGTCATCCTTTGAATTAAGTGAAAACTTATATTAGTGAAGAGAATATTTTGGTGGTTAATGGTAGTATATATCATTCAATATTATTAGAAGATATTATGTTGCATGTGTATCATCAATTTAATTTTTTTGAATATGTTATACAAAGTAATGAAAATATTGGTGTGGATATAGCTTCTAGAGTTGAGATTGAGAGATTAAAATGAAGTCTAAAATTTTGTATGACAGAGGATATCTTGGAGAATCAAGATAAGTTTTATAAAATTGTAATTATGTCGATGATATTGTGTGAATATGATATTGTTCAGTAAAAAAATTTGACATTTAAGTGGAGCTTTGATAGAATGTGTGATAAAATTATGAAGGATAAATTAGTGAGTGGTTGTTGGAGTGACATAGGGGCGAAACTGACCATTTTTATGAGTGAGGGCAAATTTATTATATTAAAAAAATACATGTAAATAAAATGAATAACATGATTCAAAATAAAGTCTTGTATTCTATTATCAATCATAAATTAAAATATATTATATAATTTTTAATCTATTTTGCATATTTTGATAATATCACATAACAACTTCATTAAGAATCAAATC